CTTACTTGGTCTCTGAGGAATACTTGACAAGTAGTGACAGTGATGATTATTGTTTTTGGTAAAGATGAAGCAGTAACAAAATTAGACTATACATGGGATTGTATGTGAAAGAGTGTTTTGGTGTCTCGTGAATGGTTTCACGCTGATGAAGTGAAACGTCAATGTGTCATTAGTGTTGCTGGCATGAACTGTTGACTTTTTTCTTTTTCTCTTATTTAAATCTGCAAGAAAATTTATTAAGTCTGTTTGGGTTTTTTATTTGTTTTGAGAAAAGTTCTCCTTTGGTCATAATTATAATGTTTAACCACATTTGAGGCTGGTATACACTTTCCCTGCTCTGCTGTTGTGTTCCCACTGCATCGAAAACCACAGTGACCAGCAGCCCCAGAAATGTCTGGGCTACATGAGATAATCTGACCTTTGAAACTTGTAATCTTTGGATTATAGTGTCAAATAGACTAGATTAGAAAGTGTTTTTGTCATTTATTCATTTTGTCCGATTTTCCTATGCATGTTTTAATCAAGTAGTTTGTATTTTACAGCACAGTCTGTATGGAAGATGCAGTAAAAAGCATTGCTGCAGCGCTCCCACGAGACCGATTAATGCTCTGCCTGCACAGAGGTTTAAAGAGATCATCATGTGTGAATCCCTATTGTCCATTTCTGATAGCAACACCTAATCAATACCAGCCCTTTTACAGTCAAATGTTAAGCTAGGAGGAGCTATTGATTTAACTCAGTAGGCTAACCGATAGATCATTAAGAAGAGCTGAATGCGTGAATGTGTATGTCTTTCTTTCTGTGTGTATCAGGAAAAGCACTGATTTGATCATTTAGACTCTTTATTAGTGTCAGCAGTTATAGAGGCTTGTAGAAAGAAGGAAAAAAAGCAAATTGGTTTTTTATTTACTGGCTGTAATGGCACAGAGACCTAAAGGCTCAGCAAAGTGGTTTCAGCCTCTGTGAACTGCGTCATTCAGCGTGGGAAATAAGTGTGTGTGTGTGTTTTAGCTCGTATAAACAAATGTAGTTTAATGTAACTGTGCCACTAATGAAACGTTTCAGTGCTTTAAAAAGTGCTCGTAACTTTGGGAGGCATTTGTGAGTATCTAAGATGATGCTGAGAGTTGCTGGTACCTGACACGGACTAAACATGGCTGCGGTACAAAAGAAGTTAAAAAGTCTTTGAAGATTTCTAAAAGTGTCTGTCTGTGATCGTTTAATTGATTTTCTGGAAAAGAGCCTGATGGATGTATCGGTTAGCTGATGTTATCCACCAATATTAACACCTAGTTTTAGTGAAAATACCACTGATAATGTGCCGATAACCAGCAGTATTTTTGGTTGGAGAATGACTTTGATTCAAACAGCAGCAACAAGGAAAAACCTTAGACAGTTATGCTGATATAGGAAACTGAATGTAAGTCACCACTAGTTTGCTTATTTGATGGCAATACATGCTGAACTGGTGAATTTGAACACAAAATACCATTATGGTAGAAGTGTGTAAAATGTGTTGAAACCTAATTACTGGGATGAGAATAACAACTGTAAGTGCTACGATATTTATATTATATAAGGGCAGATCTGTCAATACACTAGAACTACTGGAACAAAATTGATTCCAGAGTACAAAAATATACAATTCTATTGGCTTTTACTGTTACTGAGTATTGAAATTTTAAGCCTTTTAAAATTAATATTGGACATAAAATGTTTATATTCTAGAGTGATAAATGTTACATATATAGTCACTGTCTGATTAAACGGTTATCTCTATTTTATCGACATCATTTGAGCTGAATTTCATGATGAATGTACCAATAAAAACAAAAAAAAAATAGAAATGCATTTTGCAAGTGTACTCTATTAACTGCCTTCATAAACTCACTTTTATGTCATAGCTATATCATATGTCAGCCTACAGTGTGTATGTTGCATAACTGGTACACCCGTGTCTCACTTAAAGCTAACATAGAGGCTAGTTAACCTTCTGAAACTACTGAGGTCCAGATCTTGCTGTTCTTATAGCTGGTTAGCTAGTCATGATCATATTCCTGCCTTTGGGAATGGAATTTTAATTTTTTAGCAGTTTAAATTTGATGTACACATGGTTGTTTTGCTAAATACTATGTTTATTTGTTTTTTTATTCTTTGGATAATTTATATGAAACAAAATGTATCATAAAATGCTAGATTGTGGTGAGAGATGACAGTACAGATGAGGACACTCTACTCTCTTGTGCTGGGTGAACAAATAGAACATAGCCCAATCAAATTGTTGATATGAGGTGTGAAAACCATGTGTGTCAAGCTCCATATACACATCTAGCAGGAAATTGTTGTAATGGTTTGAAATAATGGATGGGAGTAGGAGATAATTATATTGGCTGACAATTGTACATTTTAAAATACTAGGCCGTGCCAGAGCACAGAAGTAGCCTATAACTCCTGCTTGTCAGTTAACAAAAGGAGTGATCCACTTTGCTCTAAAATGCAGTGTGTCAGTGCACAGCTACTGCAAATTGTATATATATATGAACAAAACAAAAAAAAATCTCCACCCTACAAAAAGTACTCATGGGTCTTTGATATGCTCAAAATATTTTAAAGTTCACTGCCATGCACTGTCACACTGAGTTAGCACCTTTTATATGGGGCGTATGAGGTAAAGATCCTCATGGTCAGATGCTATAAGTTCTATTAAAATACTAAAAATAATCATGGTGGGATGCCATAAGGTCTATAAAAAAGAATAAAATAATACAAATAATCCTATGTGTTTTTATTGTGTGGCTGGACACACATATTTGCTGCGATGTTGTGCACAAGGACGGAAATGACAAATACAAAGCTAATGAGGGAATTATTGATGGTGGACAACTACATGGCAGATCAATACAGACAGACGGAGAGCCATAAACTAACCCACTCTCTCTCGTATCAACTCTTTTGTTTGGGTCTTTAATAATTAACTTCAGCATTATTAGCTCCTCATTAAACAACCCAGTCATTAGTGTATACACAGTTCTGGTGCATTTCTGAGGCAGTTTTTGTGTATTTTAAGAAACATTTGCTTGGAGACTCAAATTTAGATGCCTAAATAGGTTCTTTGGCTCAAAGCCATAGAAGAACCACTGTTTTCTGTGGTGTTGCTCCAAATAATGCTTTTTGGCACTTTTTAAGAGTCTATGCAAGTAGCAAGATGAGGCTTTAATGATGAAGGTTCATGAGACTTTTACTGTTTTAATTACATTCTGATCAGTCAATTCTCCGGACACATGTGCCTGTGTCAGCAGCCTCATGAGAGCCACTCCAATGTAGAACATGGCACGCTTTAACATGATTGGCCACGCATGGTCCTCCGAAGGCGAGGCACGTAATTGAACATGATAAAGTGTAAAGTCAATTACCCCTTAGAGCTGTCATTCACACCCCAGGGGGTGTGTACAGTTAAGGGGGTGTGTCACCTTAGGTCCAGCTGTCGTATGTGTATGTGAGGGAGAGAGAGAGAGAGAGAGGAGAAGCGGACAATAGATACTTGTCCTCTGGGAGTTGTGTGACAGATGATTTGAACATTCAGCTTATAAAGACAAACGTTCAAATTGTGTCCCTCTGGTGTCAGAGAGCTTATTATTAGCCTCTGTTCCATTACAAACACTTAATAGGCATGCACACAAAACTGTTTACTCCTGCTTATCTTTTCTCGCTCTTATAAACACGTTTATTTATTTCATGGCATTTTTAAAGACTGGCACTTGCCATCAAAGAATTTTCCTGGAAAATAGAGTTGTCCTGTATATGCCTCACAAAAAATTTAGTATATGCATAGGGTTTCCTCCAACATCCAGTTGATATTCAGAACATTGTGTCCTACATTTACTTTCACTAAACAGACAGAGAGAATGTTACACAACCTATTGAGAAATGCCTTTAAAAAAAACAGTTATCCTTCTCAGTAATGTGAGTTGTACTGTCTTTTAAGGTCAAATGTTGTCTTTGCCTGATTGGGAAGCATAAAAAATTATGAAAGTTTATCAGATAAGGGCAATCAGACGTCCTAGTTTGCCCCAGTGGTGAAAAAAACATGTAATGATTGCTACCACCCTGGGATGGTGAGGGTGCATCATCTGACAAATATAGGCAATCACTGCATCATTGGCTAATGTTGCTCTATATTGACAGAGAAAGAAAAACAAGTCATTCTTTCCCACTGAGTCAATAAGTAGACTTTCAAGTATGAAAAGCTGTGGCATTACTTGATGATACACTACATGATTCCACTCATTTTACACAACATTCCTAGCTGTTTGTGCCCCTGTTTTATTGATATTATATACCGGGAGAGCTTGACATTTTTCTACATGTACTGATTTGAGGACACCACTGTTCCATCAGCATACATTATCTCCAAAACCATCCAGACACCCCTTCAAATTAGTGAATGCACCTTCTTTATGGTGTGCTTATTGCTGACACAGTTATTCAATTGCACTCATACAGCTTGTGTAGTCTGTATAGAAAAGCATTGCTGATAGAATGGGACATTCAAACATGAGCCTAAGGTCACAATGCCCAATGCTGAGTGTCAACTAGAGGGGTGTAAAGCCCCCAGCATTGGGTTGTGGAGCATTGGAACTTTGTTCTCTGGACTGATGAAGCACACAGCATTACATTTGGGATTAATTGGAGTGGCATTTGAGACCCAGAGCTAGTCGTCCAACATCAGTACCTGAACTCACTAATGCTCTTTTGGCAGAATGCAATCAAATCTTCACAGCAATGTCCACACATCTCTAGTGTAAAACCTTCCCAGAAGAGCAGATATTGTTACTGTAGCAAAGGGGAGACAAACTCCCTATTAATGCACCTGATTTCAGAAGGAATGTTAGATAAGTAGGTATCTACAGTCTTTTGGACATGTGCTGTACATTGAATTAAGTGTGTGTGTGTGTGTGTGTGTGTGTGTGTGTGTGTGTGTGTGTGTGTGTGTTCTTCAGGTGTTGGTGCTGCAAGTCTTGCTAAACTCACATTCTTGGTGGGTGGAGTGGAGGAGGAGTTTAATGCTGCTCAGGAGCTGCTCACTTGTATGGGAGCTAATGTTGTTTACTGTGGCCAAGTAGGAGCTGGACAGGTGAGTGTGTAAGAACTAATTCAGTCAGCACACATGCAGTGGGGTCCAAAAGTCTGGAACCATGTTTCTGTAAACTTTTAACCTGAATTTCCTAGTATTTGGCATGTCCCTATAACTCGAGCTGGCATGGACAGGTTTATGCAAAAGCCTTGTATGAGTAGATCAAATCCACCCGTAAGTTGTCTGAATATGTACTTTAATGAAAAGAATAAGATTCAAAACAAATATCTGACCTTTTTGTACAAATACCGTAACATGGTTAGTGTTGCTTAAATTTCAGCAGAGACCTAGAAATAGTCCAGAATCTTTAATATTTCTTCATTTTACTTTTTACAGCTTTTCATTGTTTTTTTTATAATTTTTAAAGTTCTAAAACTTTAGATTTAAAAATTGCTGTATTTGCAGGATTAAATGAAAAAAAAAAACACTGCACACGCAGAAATACACACAGTTACCTCTATGGGAGCTAGGATGATGTTGCTAAGTGGGACTTAAAATGAGAAATACACACTTAGTGCCCCATGTGGGCCTCTCAGCTTCTCTGTATTAACCACACTTAATATTCAGTGGCAGGAGTTGGTAAGATCTGATTCAGATACCTCATTAAACTTTGGCATCCTCTGGATTGTTAACAGCTATGTGTGGTTGCTCTTAGTAGTTAGCTTTGGTTTACCTGCCTGGAAAGTCAGCATTTTCCAGGAATATCAGCATTATTCTTTCCTTGCCATTGCAAATTTGATACTGGAACAATCTAACAGTGTGGTTGACCAAATTTCAAAATGGCTTAAGCTTCCACAAGTGATAACAGATACTGATCGAGATTTTAAAGGATTATACAACTTAATCAGCACATATTTTGTTCTTTCTTGTAGGCTGCAAAAATTTGCAACATCATGCTGCTTGCTATTGGAATGATTGGCACAGCAGAGACAATGAATCTTGGAATCAGGTATGAACTGTGTGTGTATCAACTTGTTACTGTCATTAAATAATAGGAAAAACATGAGATGCTGTAGTGTTCAAGTTCAGTGTACTAAGCATTATCAGTGGCTATGTAGTAAAATAACACAGAACACTTATAATTCTCACATGTTGCTCAAAACGTTGAGAGAATAGACAAAATAGGAAGGAAGAACCCCAGTGTTTCATCGATGTGGACAAAAGCAATTTGCATAACATACAAATTTCCTTGTTGCAAGCTGTTTTCTACCTTCTTTCCCAAAATCACCAATTTTCAGTAATATCATTTTAGCCTGTCCAGAAAGTGCTTTTTTGTCCTTAGAAAAATCACAGTGAACATCTTAACATCTTTCAGAAATGCTTGTTTCTAACCTATCTCTTAGAAAAGAGATGAGCCTGAAAGACAACTATAACAGCTCCTTCATATGGATTCATATACATAAACAAAGCCAGCATTTCCTCTAAAAAAATGAATGAATGAGCTGGGAGGTAGGGCTGTAAGCAACTTGCTATCACTGTCCTAGCCTTAGAAGCCAGACTTACGACTATTGTCAGAGAGTCTGATTTATTTTGTTACTTAGCATGACCACAGATTACCTACTTTGACAGGTAGACCATTTTTTGTCAATGTTGGGTGGGCAACTAATAATACTGTGCTACAACAAAAACAGACCTGGGTGAAGTGAAAGTGGTATGCATTGGTAAAATGTGAGGATGACTCATTCACTTTTTAGACTATCATTTGACTAAATCTAAAGATAAGTTACCATGAACTTTTTTTCAGTCTAGTGCCTAAATCTTGATCTGAAAGGCTTGCTGTCCTCATGGTGTGCAGAGCATGTAACGTCTGGCAGAAGTTTGTTTCTGACTTATAAAATTGCTTTTACATGGATGAGAGTCTAACTGGCAAAATTCTAAAAGTTTTTGCCAGTTTAGAATACAATCTACTTCAAGTGGTCTGTGTACCTCTGTAAGTGCTAGCTTTGCCTAGCCTGTATAACCCTTCTAGGGCTACAGCTGCTGCAGCAGGGCTATATAGCCAGTTTGCTATGGGCCAAGACTCCACTTACAGACTCTATCTAGAAAGCACTAGCATTAACAAGCGTCAAAAATAGACTCAAAGCTAAAAACTGCAGTATGTGCATGCTTAACTGTTGCTTGACGTGCATGGCTGGACATATTCTGGCAGCCAATCAACATTAAGAATGCTAGAATAATGCTAGAATGTTTGTAGATGTAGGTTGTAGATGTAAATTGTTAATTGGATTTAGTGGGTGGGAGATTGAGACTACTGGCTGACTCACCCACAGATTACTACGCTAAGGAAAACACTGCAGAACTATGTATGGTCCTTATAAGCACATTAGTACAAGTATAAACATGGACACACACATACACAGAGAGTCTAGCAGTTAAAGCATCTACACTCAGGCACATGCAGCCTGTGTACAGATGTTTACAAGGATAATTGAAGTTTGGTGATAAACTAGTTTGTTTCCTCTTTAATGCATTAATGTACACTTGAGTTGAGTGTTTTGCACAGACCAGCATATGTGTGTTTCTGTGTGTGTTTATTGTAAGAGCCTCCTGCCGGGTTTGATAAAGATGAAACAGCGAAAAGCGCAGTAGTTAATAAACTCAAGTCTTTAAAACCAATTCCTCCTATTGCACCATAATCACACTTCAAAAGCCTTTTTTCATCCTGTTTTAATTGAATTCACTCATTTGGTTTAAATAAATGAATTGGTTTCACTTCCATCAGCTTCAGTGGCACTGATACACGCATACATTAGCATGCACTCATAAACCTGCAGTGTTTCAGTTTTGTGTATGTATGTTTAAGAAATAAGAGCAGAAGGAAATGCTATCCAAAGGAACATGTGAGTCAAACCAACAAAGGAGGAAATTTAAATATGCAATTTTACTAAATTATGTACAGTATTCTGATTATGTGCTCTTTCATTGGAAACTGTACCGATAACATGACTTCATTTACATTAAGTATATATGTTTTTAAATATTAAAAGCAATTATTTTGAAAACGCTTTGCTTAAAGCCTACTACATGTATGGTCATGAAAGATTTTGTTCAGTAATACAATAATGTCATATTACCATTACCGGTAACTGCCATGACATGCCATAATGTTATATATGAAAAAAAATCTGTCATGACAGCATATGACATCAGCCATGTCATGTTTATAGAAGGGTTATGTCAGCAGGTATGTGTAGCAGGTTTTTACACACTAAAGATAAAATGTTTTAACAAGTACTAAAACAAAACACTTTGTCACTGGTGGTAAATTCAGTTATTTTCAGAATATTATATACTGTAGAAAATGGTTTGTCAGTTCAACCTATAAATGTACTTAATGTGGTAATAAGCAATTTAACTGGTTTTATTGAACTCAAATAAATACTTTGAATGAAGTGATGCAAAGCAAAATAACTAGTTTTAGGGATGCACCGATATGAGAACTTTGGGCCGAAGCCGATATTGTATATCTTATAATATTTATATGTACACTTCTTGATATATGTGCCAACGTATAAGCATTTATAAAATGTAGGAATTAGAACTAAATCCAGCTGAAATCACATTGCAGAGACATATGTTACAAATGAGGTATAATGAATTAAATTAAAAAAAAGTTGCCCAGTGTAAATGTTGCCCAGTAAATATTTTAGATGAACAAAAGTGGTATTTTAATAACGTTTCAAATCAACTTCTACCCTGTTCCACCTTTCACAATGTGTATTGTGAAAAGTATCCTATGGATTTCCATTTTTTTATTGAAAGTATTTTGAAAAATAAATACAAATCATTTCAAAGAGACCCAAATGACATGTAATTCAGATATTTTCATGTGAGGGGAAAAATTTGGGATTAAATGCATTAAATTGTTATTTTTTCTTAACTGGGTACCTGAAAATTGATCTTATAGCTAAATACATGAGTAAAAGTGTGACCACAAGATTGATTTGAAAGAGCAATTTTCAGTAGCAGTCTTAATTACAGCTTATTTCATCAAGAATGTTGTCTTAAAGTGTACATAGGAAAACTTAACCTAATAATGTGGAGCGTATGAATTGCCTGTTGATGATTTAGACCAATTAAAAGCAACCAAACCACCATGTGCTATATACATGACAACACAACCACAACTAGCTGTCAGTCTGGCACAGTACATTTAGCATTCAGGCCTCAAGCCAGAGATAGTGAATAGTCTGGTCTTCTTGGCCAAGACAACAGACATGGACCTTATTTTGTAGAAAATAATTTAAATCACTGTCACAAAATTGGTCAGGAAAATCGCAATTAGATATTTTCCCTAAACTGTTTAGTCCTATTTTTGTTGCACATGTTGGTTCTATTTTTCCACATCTCTAAAGTTGTAGAAGTTGGTTGCATTGTCTGTGTTTCATGAAAAGCACATTCTTTGATGTTTAGTTTGTATTTCGTTGCATTCATTTCTGAACATATATACAAAAACAAACATTTAACCGAAAATGATGCGGAGGCCTCAACAGCTAAATATAGTATCATATATGTGTTTTGTTGCACATGTGTACATTTGAACTAAAGTCACATGCGGGCCTGATAATCATGCTTTAGTTCAATCAGGTTGTCCCATCTGGTTGCTTATAGGATTTGTCCTTTTTAAAGCGTGACATGTTTCGTTCATGCCAATTGTAACACACAAATGCTTTAGTTAATGTCCGTAAGGCAGGCTGGCGAACGCTTTACAAAGCAAAGGGGTGGAGCTGGAGTGCTGTTTATCAATTAATTAGAGATCGCACCACCCTTGTGCCTGTGCCTCTCTCTCTCTCTCTCTCTCTCTCTCTCTCTGCTGTAGTGGTAAAAGAGTGATTGGTGTAATAGCAGACAAGCCAGGCTGCGAGGGAGGCAATAACCTTTTCAGTCACTGACCCAGAACCTGTGTGTGTGTGTGTACGCGCATGGTCAGGGGGAGGGAAGGGAGAGATGTTGAACATATGTCACCCGTTGTCCCCAAGAGACACAGAGTAAGACACAGAGCCATAGACAGAGAGCGAGAGAAAAAGAGGTATGGGGGTTCAGTCAGTTTGCTTTGCATAGACTATGGCTTAGAGGTGGGTGAAATAGCAAAAATGGAACGTTAGGATGGTCGAAGACTTTGTGACGATACACAGTATGTATCACAGTATTTTATTTTGGTAAATGGACAAATTCACCAGCAAGACAGCAATGGCATGTTTGAAAAAGATTATGAAAAACTATTAGTAATAAAAAAAATTGCTTAAGGATAAACTAAGAAGGAACAGGAAGAAGTTAGGACTGTCAAAGTTTACAATTAATCATGACTAATCTTTTTTTTTTTTTTGTTAATCACGATTTTCCATTTAAAGAGCATTTTTGTAGCTAGATACAGTCCTGTGCAAGTCTTAATTTCTTTAATTTTCAGCCAAAACTGCTCAAGTTATTCATTATTCATTATTATGGCTTTATTTGGACCATGGCCAATAACATCATGTTTGTACATAAATATAGTACTGTGCAATAGTCAAACACCAACCTTCATTAATTTAATTTCCAGTCAGAATGTAAGTATGTTTCTAAGAAAGTTATTCATTTTTCATCACCTGGAAAAACATATATTTAACAGAAAATTAAGCCTCAATAACTAAATCTTTTAAGTATTTCGTCTGTTTATCCTTTACCTTTATTACAGTTTTCATTCTTTTCAGGAGACCTGCTTTCAGTTTTTCAAAGAAATGTGCAGAAATCTTTTCTACACCTTTCTACAAGTCTTGGAAGTTGGTTTTACATTTTCTGCTTTTCACGTTCCAAGTAATCGCAAACACATTCAGTAATGTTGAGTCCATTACTCTGAGCAACTTCTACGTTGGCAAAATTTCTTCTTTTTATGCCTATTTTCTTTTCTCAGTAATGGCTTCTTGACAGGCTACATGTCCTTTCAGACTCATTGAGTTGTCTGCTCACAGTGGAAGGATGAACAAAAACAATTGGTGGAAGCAAAATAGGAGCTTGATTTTCTCCTGTCTCTTAAAGATGGAAGCTGGTTGTGACAGTTTTGGTGGGCTGCCAGGTATTGCCTGGTTGTTGGGAAGCCTATCTTCTCATTTTTGAAAACTCAAACTTATTTTCCTTTGGCTTTCCCTTTCTCATGCAATTAAATTGTCTGAAAAATGAGTATCTTGTACTTAGTTGTTGTACTAATGGCTGTTGTGATTGGAAATTACATAAATGAAGGGTGGCCTTCATTCTGACTTTTGTGCAACACTGTTAGTTATTTTAACATCATGTTGCCGACTCCTAGCATAGACCTTCAACTGTTAAAGATCTATTCAGCAAAACAATTCAAACGCGCACCAAACACATGCCGCCCTATGCACGTGTACAGACATTATGCATTTAGTAATTTCCAAAACAGCCTGTAAAGAAAGACAATGTGGGATGAAGAGCAAGAGACAGAAAGAGAGGGCAAAAGAAATTGACTGTTTATATGCAGCTGTGTCCTAGTCTCTTAATTACTGCGCAGACATATAAAAACTGTTGGTGTGTTAGTGTGTGTATGCCTGTGTGTGTGGCGGCGAGCCTGTGAATGAGAGACAGGTGGAGTTACTGTGTAACTGTCCTTAAACACTCATCATAGTTTAATAGACATAAAAAAGCAAGAAAGCACAATTTACTGTCTTACCACTACTACCACTCCTGCATGTGTCGGGCTGTTCTTGATGTGGTCATATTTACGCTGTTGTTAAAGTAGGAGACGGCAGCACTGTGCCCAGTTACACATCATCTCTCCCTCTCCCTCTCTCTCCTCCTTGTTCTTTCCATCTTTCATCATTCTCTTTCTTAAACTCTATCTCATTTCCTCTCTCTTAACGTCCCCTATTCTTTCTCTAAGTATGTTTATTATCTGTTATTTTCTACATTATCTTCAATTATGTTGATTCTCTGCTAAAATGAAAAACATAAAACAAGGCTTGAAGGGTAATATGGCAAAAATATAACACAACAAAACGATAATATAGACTTTTTTTTTTACAATGCATCATATGTATCATATTTTTTAGGTCTGCACACAAAATGCACCATTGAAAAAAAGAGGGCTGAAACAGTGTACTGTTTTTTTTCCCATTCAGTTGTTTGCAAAATAGAATTCCCAAATTTTAGGACAATTTTAAAAAGCCTAAAATATAAGATAATGGTACAGTGGTCTGACATCTGATCAGCTACTTGTTATTGTGCAGTTTATGTGGTTCTGTATGCTGGTTGTTGTTGTTTACGAGCTCTTTATTAATAGTCAAAATCTCACTTTTTTATATTTACAGTTGTTCAAAGTACTGATAAGACCCACAATATACTGAGAAATGAGTGGACAAAGTCTGTAAAATGTCTCTAAAGTAAAAGTAGAAATACTTCTGGTAAAATATTACTTAAAAGCATGTGTTCTGTCTATAGTTCTGCTGTTTGTAAATAAAAAAGAACTTTAAGTTCATATCAGTTTTATATTAGTGGTGTCCACAAACTTTAGTGAGGGGGCTGAGGTGTTTCATGTGGGTCGGGGAGACTTCTAGAAGAGCTCATATCAGAATTTTTATGTACAGAAAGACCTGTGACATGCACCCGTCCTCTGGGCCCTGATGATAGCTGCCCTGGCCACGCTTCCTTTTCTGTAGCGAGGCCGCTAGACTACTCCTCACGTTCGATCCAGGTGGCCGAGATGTCGTTATTGTCCCCCCTCTCTAGTGGCTGTTGTCCTCCTCCCGCCATCACTCGCATCCCTCAGCGGTATTAGGGATTCAGGCCTTCTTGCTGGCTGTCATGGCTATGGGGGACGGGTGCATGGCACAACCATTATTAACAAAGTTATTGTAATATCATGATATAAATGTAATGTATATTGAAGTGATTTCTTGTTGCAAGAACAAAGAGCAGACTTATTCCTAATAAATGTTTTAGTAAATACTTACAATGACAGTGTATTGTATATTGTCCAGTCCTACTCAGAAACTTGCCTTGTGTTATAACTAATCCGGATAGCAGTAACACATTGTATCGTTCACCCTTAGCTTGTATGGATGCTAATCAGGATCAGTCAAGTCAAAGCCAGATGAAATGCAGTGCTTTTATTTATTTATTTTTGGCCTGTAAAGGACAGATTGGGTTATGAGGTCTGGTTGATAGGTCAGCTGCACGTGTCAGTTTTATTACTGTGTGGGTGTAAGAGCGAGATGAACTGCGCCTCTTAAATATCAATACTGTATTATCCAAGCCTACTTTCCACTGAAGGATTATTTGACCCTAAGCCTACAGGTCACAGGCCTCTCTGACCTTTGCCCTTTGACCTGTTTCAGGCTGGGCTTGGATCCGAAGCTGCTGGCTAAGATTCTAAATATGAGTTCCGGTCGTTGCTGGTCCAGTGACTCTTATAACCCCGTCCCCGGTGTGATGGAAGGTGTACCCTCTGCCAACAACTACCAGGGAGGCTTCAGCGCCACACTAATGGCTAAAGTAAGAGATGAGAACATCATGATGTAAGAGCCTATTAGCACGTTAGTAGATTTTCCCAATAAAGGTGGGTAAAGTGGCACTTGGCAAACATTTTACAGCATTTTCAAAATTCTTATCTTGTACATTATGAGCACAGTGTGAACCATAAATATTTCATCCTTTCAATGGATGGTCCCATAGGAAACAAAAATGGTTCTTAAATGACATCACACAAATTTCTGGCACCTTCATTTTAAGAGCGTATGAATTTACATTGATGACTGTCCACTTCAGTTCAAGGATGTGCGCGTTCACATTTTTGATTCATCAAGGCACAAACAATGTAAATGTACCTTCGAAGGTGCAACAGTGGTTTTAAGGTCCAATTGAACCCTATATAAGTTTTTCCAGGTGAAAGGTACATATTTTTACCTTTTTATAACCTGATGTTTTAAAACAGAATAATAAAATAAAAAGCCTGGAGGTGTTATGGGGTGTGTGGAGTCAGTACAACTTAGAAAATATAATTTCAGTGGATTATGGTACAACTATGTTCCCTGACTAAAGGTACTGAGATGTACCCTTGAGGGTACCACCCCAGTGACGAGATGGGTACTGCCCCAGTGACAGTTTCGTACCATTATTTCTGAGAGTGTAGGAATCACAGTCTCACTTATACAGAGTGCTTTCTGGGAACAATACGTAATTGGTTCTTGTTGAGCCTTGTGTTGTTGCATTATTATCTAATGCACAAGATTGATAGCAAAAGGTTTAGATTTGATTTTGAATGTGCCACTCAGCCTATAGCTGTTGCCTCTCAGTTGTTATTAATAGTTAAATGCACTAAGTGGCATATGTTTATGCTTGAAATTGTTGACTCTACATCTCATTCAGACAGCAATTTAAATAGGAATGTTCTATCAACTTTGTGTGATGAGGGTATAGATAAGTGCAAATTTTGTATATAATATAAAAAGTTTTAGTGTTGCAGAAAAATATAATAGCAGACAAAGGCTTGGGAGCTTGAGGTCAGATGACATGTTTTGTTGATTTTCTAAGTCAACGCATCCTCTACAGAGAACACACGTCTCTGCACAGTTGCAAAAATTGTGCACTAAAATTTGAAAAAATCAACTAAACGTTATTTGACCAGTGGTGTTCACATGTTTTCATAAAACTGTACAACATGAAGACAGACATCTTTATGGACATATGTTTGGGCAAAACAGTTAGGAGTGGACAATATGATCATAATTAACATTGTTATCAATTATATCACATCTTCAGTGCTTAAACAACAATGATTAACTGCATGTTATAGTACAGAGAGAGCATAGTTAGTCCGGCTTAATTGAATTTACTGTAGTGCAGTTTGTGAAACGCTTAACGAATGTGTTGAACATTGTGCAGTTTTTTATGGTATTTTTTTTAAAATGTGGCACTATTATGGCTTTTTTTTGTCTGTGCCATCTTAAGAAACCTCAGTAAAACTATATATCATGATTTTTACGCATATTGTGAGAATATCTTACAGTGAAGTGAACTATTTTGCCCGAACTCCCTCCCTTACCTTCAGCCATTCTGGGATTAATAGCAGCTAATTACAAATGATCTTATTTGTTTTTTTTTTCTCTCTCTCCTCAGGACCTGGGTTTAGCCCAGAACACTGCAACTAACACTCGGACTCCAGTTTTTCTAGGTTCGCTGGCTCACCAGGTCTACCGCACCATGTGTGCTCGCGGCTATGCTAACAAAGACTTTTCCTCCATTTTCCAATTCCTACGAGAGGAGGAGGGACAGTAAATCTGGTCCCACTGTTCAAATTGGGCTCATGCTGCAAAGGGAGCAGTCGTCGTTGTGATTGACCAGTTTAGTATTGATATATGTGTCAGTGTCCAAAGATAAAGTTTCGTTAAAGCTAACAAAATTTGTTTCTGCATTGTTTAGTAGTCAAAGAATGGTGCTGATGACTATGGTGAATAGTCTGCAGTTCTGTGTTTTAAAGGTACTCTCCCACCTTTGATCCTATGCATTTAGATTTAGATTTAAATTTGCATCTGTGATTTCATTTTGTCCTGTTGGGGCGAGATGATGATGATGTTGGCCATTCTGAATGGCCACTTTTGACCTTTAGTCAACTGTATCTGTTTACAATTTACTGACTTTTACTTCTTCAATTTAACTGGAGGAGGCAGTCCTACTTTGCCCTCATTGGATAGATCCATTAAGGGCTTTCCTTTCTGAGCCATAAGTAGTAACTTCTATTGCTCGCACACTATCCAGCTCAGGTTACTGAGCAACCAAATGGAGCTATATTATATACCTCGTTATGATCAGTTTTAATCTGACAGATTCCTGACTGTTTAACAAACATATGCATGTGTTACATTTCTAAGAATTCTCAGATTATGCATGAAAACTGTATTCTGCTGTATTACATACCACAACGTATTACATAGTAAAGTTACAATTTGTTTGTAATTTGTTCTCTCTCTCTCTCTCTCTCTCTCTCTCTCTCTCTCTCTCTCTGCTTTAACTAGACCATAGCCAGTAGCGTAGCTTGGTGTTTGTACAGTACTGTGCAAAAGTCAGAGAGCAGCCTTCTTTTATTTCATTTCCAACCCCCCCCAAGTTTTTAATGCGTCCATGTTTTGCTTTATTTGCTTTATTACAGCTTTCATTCTTTTTGGGAGACTTGCTTTTAGTAGGGATATTTTTCTCTACCTCCAAAGTTCAGTCTTAGTTGTTTGCATTTTCTGCTTCTCACAATCCAAGTAAATCTAACACATTCAGTGATGTTGAGGTCTGGACTCTGAGGTGGTCAGTCCATTGTTCTGAGACCAGCAGCTTCTTTATTTGATTTGCACTTTTTTTTTCTTTTTTTTGTCCATTTCCGTTTCTCAGTAACAGCTTCTTGACAGCTACACATCCTTTCAGACCCATAGCAATGAGTGGAAGGATGGAGAGAAACACCTGTGGATTTTTTCAGACCTGAAGCAAGAGTGGAGTTGATTTTCTCCTCTCAAAGATGAAAGTACTGTTTATCTGGTAGTGACAGTTTTGGTGGTCTTCTGTATCATTTAATCATTTTGGAAACTGGATAATATCTGCAAATGGATAATATCTGATCTCCTCAGAAATGTCTCTTAAAGGCTGTTCTGACTAGAAATCAACCAAATTAAGGGTGGTCTCAGACTTTTACACAGTGCTTTACTTTTCTTTCATTTGCTGTTATAAAGGACCGTTTTGATGTCATCTGTAGATCTTCACTCTAAGAAGACAGAGATGTCATTTTTTCTTCTCTCTATATAAAAACACTATAATTTACGCTACTGTCTTAATAAAAGAGAAAACTGAATATCACTTCAGCGAGTCACTGTTGGCCTGATCAGTATTCTTGTTCCTCTTCATGGTCTGCTGTTTGTTCTCCTCTTTAATATCTGTTAGCATTAATCTTGGCCTTTTCCTTTGTGCATTTGGTTTAGCATGAGGTTGAGGCCATGTCCTTTTTGCTCAGAAACAATTTGGGTTTTAGCTGAGGTCAAGGCTTTGGGTGTGCCACATAAGGTCAGAGATAGTAAAAGTCCAATATAAGGGGTGAAATTTCAAAGAATAACACACATACCTCTCAGAAACATCCAGACTGTGGTCAGTGCCATTAAGTATGCCTTGTGCGATTGTGTGTCCTTTCTTTGCCTTCTGTCCTCTGCCAGTGGGAGATGTCAGCCAGCGCCTCCAGTTTTGTGGTCCACTCGTTTTTCCATTGTTTCGTTAAAAAAGCCCTGTTCCAGACGACCCAACCACACGCGCACACACTCTCTTCAAATAATACCCTTATTTCCATCATCACAATCAAAAACAAAAAGAACCCTTTAATAGTGTTTTTGGTCTTTCGTCTTGCACTTTTTTATGAATACTGCAGCACTGTTTGTTTGTAGACAGCCTCAGACAGACTGGCAAACCCAGTCTGAATTAACACAAATGTTGTTAAAAGTGCTTTTATCTCCTGCTTTTAATTGCGAGCCTTAATTTTATGAATAACGCTCGTGATGTGCAGTTATGTGGCTGCAGTCTCAGACAGTCCTACCATAAGCGCACTAATGGTTTAACTGGGATGGCTAGTTGTTAACTGGGAGTGTTGGGCTGTAACTGGTTGGGTGTGCGTTAAGCTGGAAATTATGGTAGATGCTAACTGTAGTGTTTTGGCCTTAAGCTAGCAGTTGTGTTTGAATGTGGAAATTGATATTGAAAGTGTCACCACAGAGGATGACACTGACAGTTGCATGCAGTGTATAGAAGCTGTGCACTAGGCAACTGCTATACTTGAACATGTCATAGTGTTGTAAGCTAAGGAATAAAAGTGTTACTGTAATGGAAACTTGAGATGGAATGATACCACTTTTTCTTTTATGATGTTGGTACTTGAACCTTCACTATTGGCTGATACCAATATAATCATTTTTTTTTTAAATAAAAAACCCAATTTTTAAAAGTCCACTTTGCTAGCTAGATTCGGTCTCCTCTAGTTAGCTAGTACATGCTCCCTTTAAGACATATGAAGCCAGCCACTGCATCATTTCAAACTGGTGCTAACATAGCGCCATTGGACAGCTAAATGTGCTTGGAGGTGAATGCTAACTGCCAGTTATTTTGCATCAGCTAACAGACACTCACCTTGGCTAGCACTGTACTGAGTTATGTGGGGGGAGAAGACAATTTAGTTAGCCAATGACACATCAGCAGTTCCTCATAAATGTGTTTATCAGTATTTATTTGAAAGGTACATTCTGAATGAACAACCTGATTGAGCAAATGTCACCTAAAAAACACATTAGGATCATAAATAAAGTTAGTTGGTGAAATATTAGATGCTGAGGATATGTTGTCTTTTACACAAGGTCTTTTAGCAAACCTCAAGAAGTACGAAAGCCCATTAATATTTATGATTAATTTTAAATAGTTTTAATATTTTTAATGTAATAATTGCCAATGTGGGCACTGTACAACCATGTTTGACCTTAATTTATTAAGATGTCAGTAATTTCAGCAGCTAAGCTGAGAAAAGCTAACTGATCTTATTATCGATATAAATATAGCGTCTAATGATAACCGTAATATCTGCAAGGTGATCGTTAGATGCCATCGCCGTTCTCACTCCATGTTTATTTTGAGAAGGTTTGTCAAAGTTTCTCATTCACTTACCAGAAAAAGTAGTTAGACACAGTAACCAAGCAGTAATTAAGTGTTGTCAATCATCACTTTGCCCCGGCCCGGCCTGTGGACCGTATATTTGACACGCTGCTTTAACCCCTTTCTTCAGGCCAGGAGGAATGGAAATTGACTAATATTTTTATTAAAATTTAAAATAGTTTAAATCCAAAATATTTACAATTGAATTCAAATGTTTTTTTAAATCTAATTTAATTAGAAATATTACAGTTTAAGCATGAACTGAGGGACTTTAATAACAGGCTGAAAATTTCATTTTTTGGCTACAATGAGAAGGGCTCAACGGTGCAAACATTCCTACTACCCTACAGAAGGAAATATGGACACATTTTTTTTTTTTAACTCTGCTACATAGCATTGGCATAAACATGCCATAAACATGTCATGGGTAATTTGTTATGTAGATTTTGTTCAGTAATATAACACTGCAATGTTACCATTACCTCTAATTATCAGATAATTGTCAGATAACTAACAGATAATGTTTGATGTCATTATGGCTAACTAGAGCCCCTTAGCAAAAATTAGCAGTGACATCTGTCATGACAACTCCTGACATGTTTATGGCATGGTTATGTCAATGTTGCATTGCAGGGTTCAAGTAGTGTTACCAAAGATGGATAGATGTGTGAACTGTTGCTGTGACTGCAAAGACTCTTTTAAGTTGCACTATGTAAGTTTTGGGGATTTGGAGACCTCTTTGGTGGAAATGTGGAAATGCACGCAATTTGTGGAAGTGCATTTTGTAAAATCAGTTGTGCTTCGCATTTTGAAAGCGTATTCAAAGAGAACTCAGTCAAAATTTAGTGAAGTATGTGTCTTCCGAAGATGTAAGTGAATTATCTACTGTTGTCTTCATATCTTCATATATAGATGGTTTTACATTTGAGACCTCAACACCAAGCCAGACCTTCTTGTTGAGGCTGTGCGTGTGAGACATTAATAAAACTTTGTTTTCTTTTATGCTGCACTAGAAGCAGTTCTGTAATATTTCAGTCTTGATCCGTTACAGAATTGGATCAGATTCGTTCCAGGCATCTATTGATCTTTACTCATAGTGTATGCCATTTACTGTTTTTCTTACAAAATTGTGATTACTGCCTTCTGTCACTAACAGTACTTGACTCATGCTGACGGAATGAGCACCGTGAGCTACTCAGACAGTGTGCTGTCCAGTCTGACCTCAGTGAAAAACTACAACTGCTGAGCGTCAGCCATGTTGAGTGTGATTCATATTTGGATTTTAATTTGGCCCTGTTTACAAGGGGGCTGCTGCGAGTTGCGGTTCCCTCATTAACAGGACTTGAAAGTGGCTATAAAGAGAGCAGCGGTGAAACCGGCCCGCACTGACGTCTGTGCACCACACAGACACACTGCCACTTACTTCAAGACAGTACATAAAGACACGTGCACACACACAAGCAGTCAACACACAAACCTGGACACTCTCCTTTCAGCACACCCTTTCATACAAGGTCTTACTAAAATACACTGTGCGTATGAGCAAAGTGGGAATTTGTTAGTCAGAGTTTGATAGAATTGTTTTATCTATGCTCCATCCACAAATGCTTCCTTTCAAAGCGGCTGAGGCAATGTTGGACAAGGATGTTTGCAAAAATCACATTCAACCTTTCAACCTTAGGTTTCAGTTTTGCTACATAATGTTGTATTTTCAGTTTAAAATGATACACTACTGAGCCTGCCCGATGTTGTACCCAACAGATTGGTAACAATGGTGTGCCACCATGCTAGTGTTAGCATGAAAACCCAACACCCAAATTTACATACAAACTTACACATACAGAATAAATTATATTAGAAAGGAACAATGCACTGTCAATCTCCAGATTTTTTCCACTACAGTTATTCATTAGGCTAAATCCAATTTTTGCCAGTGTTCTGTAAAGCCTGTCCAAGCATTGCAACAGGAGCTTCAAAAAATAAATAAATAAAAACAAAAAATTGTTAGAACATAGGTGGGTCAGTTGGATCTAATCTATCTAATATCACATTATAACCAATATAACTAACATGGTATTTATATATATTCATCACAAATCTTGCACATTACAGCTATAAGTGTCTAAAATTGTTTGACTCAGATATATATACTTTTTTTAACTGTACATATAGATAGAAGCATTCAAGTCAGAGTTGGGTTGGATTTCATGGGGGCTATTTGGACCACATCGTGTTACAGTCTTTACGTGTTAACAGACACAGGCTCAAAAAGGAGGTCTGGCGCATA